ATTATTTTGTTATATTTGCTTTATCATATTCTCTTCATCTATATCTATCAGTCCATCTTTTGATACATTTCCAAGTAAGGTCCAGACATGAGGACGTTTCATTTCTACACACTTTAGTATGTATATCATTAACTAGAGTTCAATATTTATTTACAGTTCTGTGTTTTAAGGAAATGTTATATACAATGTAATGTACAACTGTTATATCTACCTTCCACTTACTTTCAACAAATGCATTGATGCATTGAATCCAAATTCCTGTCAATATGGAAGATTTTTTCACTCAAGAAAGTTCCTTGCCCTTGGTTTTCAAAAGTTTCCATTCTTAGAACCTAGACATTAATTAATTCTCTGCTATTGGTATTTCTGAGGTAAAAATGGGGACTTAGAGATCAATTTATTAGGCAGATTATAATCAATCCTTCTTGGTCAAGAGAGATGATTAGTGAAGAGCCAGAGCTCAGATGCACCAAAAGCACCAGTTGTAAGGGCAAAGATGATTTGTCTCCTGAAATACTACTTTTTCTTAGTTTATAAAGTATAGCACTTGATCTCTCAAGTATATCAAAGAATCATTTTGGTTAGCTCACTGGGTATAGATTTTCTTGGCAATGTTTGGAAACCTGGAACCTTAAAGACTAAAATTTAAGCAAATTACTAAATGGATGTGTTAGAAAGATAGATTCATGGTGGTTTGTGAAAGGACAGGAGACAGAGCAGATAGGATCCTGCAAGATAGAATATGATTGGTTCCATTTGTATCTATGTCTAACACTCATGCTCACTCCCTTATTCCCTAACCACCCCTCCTCTAGGAGGGCCTTCCTCATTCTCTGCACTTAGCACACTCTCTGGATTTGCAATCTTCACTGTCACCTCTCTTAATTCTTTTCAAAAGAAGCTAATTTCAAGAAACTAATTTCAAAGCAGAGCCTTGTATAATTTGTATCTTTTTCATTTCCTAATTTCTACTGTAGCAGTTTGCTTCAACAGGAAGGAATACAGGACTTTTGCACTTTGGATGTCTTTCAGACTGGAAGACCAGGCCTGAAGCCAAATCATCATATCTACAGCAGAATGTATCAGAAGTATCCCATAGCACAGATAATCTCTCGCATGCCACATTAGAAGACTCCTGGGATGTTAACAGCCCACTAGAGAGGCACCAGGAAAAGTGGAAGAGACATCTGGAGCCAGAGACACCCACTCAGAAGAAAATAGTCACCCTACAAGAAAGCTTTGAGCAAAATAAATTTGGTGAAAACTCTAAGTTGAACAGAGACCTGATTACACAACTGAACATTCCTTTGAGAGTAGGGCTTAGTGAATGTCAGACACTTGGAAGCAATTTGGGACATAATTCAGATTTACTTAATCAGAACAATATCATTCCAAAAAAGAAACCCTATAAATGTAATAAATGTAGAAAAGCCTTTATTCATAGATCATCACTTACTAAACATGAGAAAACTCACAAAGGAGAGGGAGCTTTCCCCAATGGTACAGATCAGGGAATTTATCCTGGAAAAAAACACCATGAATGTACTGACTGTGGGAAAACTTTCCTCTGGAAGACACAGCTTACTGAGCATCAGAGGATTCACACTGGGGAGAAACCCTTTGAGTGCAATGTCTGTGGAAAGGCCTTCAGGCATAGCTCATCCCTTGGTCAACATGAGAATGCTCACACAGGAGAGAAACCCTATCAGTGTAGTCTCTGTGGGAAAGCTTTCCAGCGCAGCTCTTCCCTTGTTCAACACCAGAGAATTCACACTGGAGAGAAGCCCTATCGATGTAATCTGTGTGGGAGGTCCTTTAGGCATGGCACATCCCTTACTCAGCATGAGGTCACACACAGTGGAGAGAAGCCCTTCCAATGTAAAGAATGTGGGAAAGCCTTCAGTCGATGTTCTTCCCTTGTCCAACATGAGAGGACTCATACTGGAGAGAAACCTTTTGAATGTAGCATATGTGGGAGGGCTTTTGGTCAGAGCCCATCCCTTTATAAACATATGAGGATCCATAAGAGAGGTAAACCTTACCAAAGCAATAACTACAGCATAGATTTTAAGCATAGCTCATCTCTTAAGCAAGATGAAGGCACTCTCACCGAAGTGAAATCCCACCATTGTGATGACTGTGGGGAAGATTTCAGTCACATTACAGACTTTACTGACCATCAGAGGATCCATTCTGGAGAGAACCCCTATGATTGTGAACAGGCCTTTAGTCAACAACCTATTTCTCATCCTGGAGAGAAACCATATCAATGTAACGTATGTGGAAAAGCTTTCAAAAGGAGTACAAGTTTCATAGAGCATCACAGAATTCATACTGGAGAAAAACCCTATGAGTGTAATGAGTGTGGAGAAGCTTTCAGTAGACGTTCATCACTTACTCAACATGAGAGGACCCACACTGGAGAAAAACCCTACGAATGTATAGACTGTGGGAAAGCCTTCAGTCAAAGTTCATCTCTAATTCAGCATGAGAGAACTCATACCGGAGAGAAACCCTACGAATGTAATGAATGTGGACGGGCCTTCCGAAAGAAAACCAACCTGCATGATCATCAGAGAATCCATACTGGAGAAAAACCCTATTCTTGTAAGGAATGTGGGAAAAACTTTAGCCGAAGCTCAGCTCTTACTAAACACCAGAGAATTCATACACGAAATAAATTTAAGGAACCCTGAAATGAAGGAATGTGTAGAATGCTTTAGCTAAAATATTGTTCTGATTTGAAGTCAGAAGATTCTTAATGGAGAGAAAGCTTGAGAATGTGATGAGCTATGTGTGTGTGTTGTGTGTGGAGAAAAACTATGCCAGTTGACGGAATTTAATTTAATAAATAAAAGCCACATTCTCATCTGATTACAGACTATTGTAAAGCAACTACAAACACCATATGTATCCAGTTGGAAATAATATGCCCATATATTGGATTTCATAAAACGTCTGAATATATGCAGGCGATCACCATGTTTCAATAGCTTGACTTGTAATTCCCATTGTCAACAGCCTTTTAAAACAATAAAACTCCTGCAAAGTAACTGACACTTATTTTAAAATTGTTTGACAACTGCACTCAACTGCAGCTCTTAATGTTAACCTCACCAAGGAAATTGATTCCACCTCCAGAAATTCACCATTCAAAGAATTAGGTCGACCAGCCTATTTCTTTGTAGGCTTCACTGTACAGATGAAGATACTAAAACCAAAGATGTAAAGTGGTTTGCACAGTGTGATACATGTAACTTATCATGGCAAAACTGGGTTGAGCATTCAGGTTTCCTGGATCTTTGGCCCCACGGTCTTGCCACTGAAAAGGTATTTTGGAATTTAGAGGACTTTTAAATTATTATTATTTTTTTGAGACAGTCTCATTCTGTCACCCCATGTAGAGTGCAGTAGTGTCATTGTAGCTTACTGCAACTTCAAACTCAAGCTCAAGTGATCCTTATGTCTTAGTTTTGTAGCTGGAAATACAGGAATGCACCACAGCACCCTGCTGATTTTCCTATTTTTAGTAGAGATGGGAGTCTTACTTTTCCTTGGGCTGTTCTCAAACTCCTGACCTCAAGCAGTCTTCCTACCCGGCCTCCCAGAGTTTACAGGCATAAGCCACCATGCCCAGCCTAAAGTAAATTTTAGGTTACATCAGATACCCAAACAGTTAATGAGCACTTATCAGTTGGATCCTTCTGGAATTCCTAAAAACATGAGAGGCAGCAACATGTATGCAAATTTGTCACTATTTATAGCAACTTCTTGGAAGCTTACAACCAAATAACAGAAACTGTAGATAGTTAAACTACTGGTGACATTTTCCCTCTCCCAATTGTAATACTTTCAGCTAATATATGTCAGTTTCATAGAACTAATCTTCTGCTTGTGCTTTTTATGGCATGCCCAAAACTTTCTATATCAGTGGGGAAATGACACAAAACTAAGGGGAAAATTTTTCCCAGTTAATTTTACTATAGAAAAGTCCAATTATCATTGCCATAAATTTTGTCAGAGAAACACTATGTATTTGAATTGTGTTCAAAGGTAATATTTCACCATTATAGAAAATCAGCTTGTTTTAGCTCTATTTTGCCTTTCCATTAGTATAGCATGAGCTAAGCTTCAGTGGCATGCTCCATCCCCTCATGCCTCCCATGGACTATCCTAAAGGAATTTTCAGAACCTTGTTGTTTCATCACATTGCAGAGAAATTTGGAAGCAATTGTAGACACTGGCCCCCTTTTTATACAAGAGCCTCTCCCCTCAAGATAGGCAAATGATAATGGCCCTTATTATGAATCATGGAGTGAAATGGTATCAGTGGTGCTGATGGTGAACTTTTCCTATTGGCTCCTTTTCATGCCAGATAGTGGCATCCATTACCCTTCTCTCATCCTGGATGGTGTGAGGCATTTCCCCAAGCATTCTTCATCCTTTGCTGGGAAGAATGTACATGGGAGCTGAAATGTGGTATGTGTACCAATACCTGTGAAGCCTTGAAGCAAGATGGGCTGTTTCAGAGCAGATCTTCCAGAACATGCCCTTCCAAGACATTAATCACTAAAAAAAACCCCACTTGTTTATGATGCTCCAAGCTTAGCTCTCACACAATGCCAAGGCCATACTTGTGTTGTCTGATATATAGTTGACAATGGGTAATTCTCAGACCCTCCCCTACTGATTGGCTGGGATGCTGGTCAGAAGCTCATTTTGCTGCTGGTTGTTTGGGGATCTCCATAGTGGATTATATGCAGGAATGGCACAAATTGTAACCAATTGAGTCTTGCTCCACTGTTACAGAAGTTTATAAAAACTTGACCTAAAAGGGACCACTGGTGTGTGTGTGGAGCCTGACGTGGATCCAGCCACAACTCTCTGAATTTCAGCACATTTTCACTGATAGGGAGGGAGCCCAGGGTGTATGTGTAGCTGACTGAGCAGACATACACCTTGCACTTACACATACCCTTTGGGAGCTACATAAAATGCATCCTTGTAACATCATCATATCCTTTCAATAAATAGCCTTCTGAGTTAAATGGGAGTCAGTTTGTCTTTTTCAATGTTTAGAACTTGACTAAGATTTAAGAATAGCATGTGAAGAAGGAAGGATTAACTGCTAAATTCGTCATAGCCAGGTGAGTTGATAACAGTTACCATTTACTGAGTGCTTACTATTTAGAAGACATTGTTCTAAGTGTTTCATTGCATTGAATCCTTACAGCTCCTACTTAGAGGTGGTGGTGTTGCTCTTGTCTTTGTGTGCACAGCTTCTCCTCCCACTTCCTCTCGTAACAGTTCCTGCTGTACTGACTGCAAGAACACAAGTCAGGTTGCCCCCAGGGCTCAGTGACATTTTTCTACCGGCAGGATTGTGATGTAGTTCAGCCAATTAGCGCCCTTTTCCAGAATTTTTTCAAAGTAGAGCTGGCAGGAAAACTATATTTTGGTGGTTGCTAGGCTGACCTAAAGCTTCTTGGGAGACCACTTTTTTCTTTTTTTTTAGAGACAGAGTCTTACTTTATCACCCTTGGTAGAATGCTGTGGCATCACAGCTCACAGCAACCTCCAGCTCTTGGGCATAGGTGATTCTCTTGCGTCAGCCTCCTGAGTAG